ACACACACACACACACACACACACACACACACACACACACACACACACACACACATGAACTCATGAAGACAAGATGGGGCGATGTAATCCCGCTACCTGCTGATATATGACAACGGCGCAAACAAATCCATACGCGTTGTGAATAATATAGGTCAGCGTGAAAGGTTACCGAATAAATCGCAGACACGGGATTTATCCCGAAGAAAATAATAGGGTTTAACTATTATTTACTACTGATATTAATGAATAATTAAGGACATAATTCGACAAACTCGAGTGATGGGAATTGTTGATTCTTCGATTAGCCTATCAATTTGAAGAAATAGCCTGTACTGACCACGGATCTATTATAAAAACTGCATTTTACTGCTACTTGAAGAGTAGGGGTGTCGGTTCTGTATTTCTTGTTAACGTCAAATCGAGTGGACGAAGCCCTAATGGCTTCCATATACAGAATATACTGTCATAACACTGGAACGCACAATAACCTTGATACGGTCGCAAGGTAAAACGTTAGGTACCAAATGATCTATATCTGATTTTTTCTATAGATCCGACGGCAGTCGATTTTTGAGCGATTTTAAACATACCCTTCTGTGTCAAACGTTTGAATAAAACCCATGATAGTGTATACGTAAAAAAACGGAGAAAATCTTGTTATAACGGATATTTCGGATTTCCATGAAACCGGATAAAGTCGTTCGCCTAACATTCGCGAACGTTGACAATACCGGATATGTCTATTACTGATTAGCTGTAGCCTGGGTATAGAACGCGATTCCACGTAAAATAACTTACAAAATATAGGAAAACGCTGTTAGAGAATCGGTGATACCCACACATTCACACATCTACTCCCATTCACAACTATGTACAGAGAGAGAGAGTGAGAGAGAGAGAGAGGGGGAGAGCGAAAGAAGAAGAAAGAGAGTTAGAAAGGAGCGAGAAAGCGAGAAAAACACAGAGAGAGAAAACGAGAGCGAGAGAGAGGGAGAGAAATAGAGAGAGAAAGAGAGAGAACGACAGAGAGAGAGAAAGAGAGAGAGAGAGAATGCCAAAGAAAGGAAGAGAGAGAGAGCGGG